ATTAAATTCTGTTTAGTGGTCATTGAGGAATTTCAGGTAAAAGGTTAAAAAAAAATTTGAAAATCAGGTGAATATTTCTTTTTTAAAATTTAAGCAAATATTTCTTGACATCCAACTATCAAAACTTAAAGAAGTTTCTTTTTTTTTAATATTGTGAGTTCATATAATTAAAGTAAAAAAAAATTTATCGAATTTGAATAGTTGGTTGTCAAGAAATATTTATTAGTAGTTTAAAAAGAAATTTGGCTGCAGCTCTTTATTTTATAATGTTTAAACTTTGAACAATGGTTACTCAACACTTATCTAACTAAATTCGATCAAAATTTTTTTCATTTTAATTCTAAAAATTTAAAGAATTAAAATGAAAAAATTTTGCTCATATTTAGTTAGGTAAATGTTGAGTAACTATTGTTCAAAGTTTAAGTATTATAAAATAAAGAGCTACAGCCAAACTTTTTTTTAAACTTCTAATAAATATTTCTCGACAGCCAACTATTCAAATTTGATAAATTTTTTTTTACTAGTGCTTGGACCCGGATATCCAGTTACCTGTTTTACTCTACCTATTTTATAAAAGACAGATACGGATAACCATCAGTTTTTATTTGGCAGATAACTGGATAAACCTACAGATAATTGGATAAACCTACGGATAACCAGATAACCCTAAAGATAACTGATTAATCCTACAGGTATTTGATTAATAGTGCTAATATACTTGTTATATGTAGTGAATAATTGTGATGGGTTATTTATATACCCATACAATAAATACTTGTTATTTCACAGTATCTGACATACAATCCTATGCAATAACCAAATGAAAAAAGCACAGATTGTTACAAAAGACCTGTGAAATAAGTGGAATACATATATTTATTGCTAATTTTCTTATTTGTGCTAATTTACTTAATTGATAAATTACTTCTTAAGTTTCTTATTAAAATTGATCTAATTGTATATTTTAAATTTTAGTCTTATATAAATATAAAATGTGAGGAGCCAATGGCACCCTTAATTACACTTGTTTATTATATAATCTAGTTTTTCATCTTTTATTAGTTTTGTACTCTTTCAAGTTCATCACCTTTCATCACTTTTATCACTTTCGTTACCTTTCACTAGTTTTGTCATTTCGCCATTCGAGATATTAGTTGACAAAAGATGAACATATAGGCGAATTTGACTCATTGATGTGATAATTTGAGAAATGATCTACACATATATATTTATATGTAAACAAATCACAGATTTGTATAACTGACCAATCAATTTAGTGCATGTGGCTGATGTGATATTTGATGTGATTTATATTTGATTTAAAATTACTAAATAAAAAAATAAAGCAAATAAAGCAAAGCAACGTTCAATAAAAATTGTGATTTTCATATATAATTACTGAATTATCACATTGGGATCTATTTGTGTCAAATCTGCCTATATAACTAGGTTTCGCATTTTGTCAGTGTGAAACCTCAAGGTTTCATTTAACAACTATAGCCCTTACTTACACTTATTTATTATATAATCTGTTTCTTTATCTTTTATTAGTTTGTACTATTTACAGTTTCGTCACCTTTCATCAGTTTCGTCATCTTTCGTCAGTTACCTTTCACTAGTTTTGTTAGTTTCGTCACCTTTTGTCATTTCTTCATTTCATCATTCGAGATTTTAGTTGACGAAAGACGAAACTAGGTTTCGCATTTCGTTAATGCAAACCTCAAGATTTCATTTAACAACTATAACAAGTAATGCAATAACACGAATTTAAGTTATCCTATGTTGGAAAAGGAACTGTTAGAGTATGTTAAAAAAAGAAGGAAAGAAAAAGGTACTGTAACAACATCAATGATTATAAAAGAAGCCAAAAGGTTAGCTAAAACTATGAGTATTGAGGGTATGAAGTTTTCATATAGTTAGGCTAAATATTTCAAGCAACAACATAGATTAGTAAAATGTGCTCGAACCCAAATAGCACAAAAAATCCCTGAGGATATGCCTGTAATCATTAAAAATTTTCTTAAACCATCATATAAAAAAATTTATAATATTGAAAAAAATATATTTTATCTTTTGATGAAACTCCTATGTGGTTTAACATATCATGAGATTCAACAATTGATTTTAAAGATACTCGTGGAATACTAGTTAAGACTACGGGCAATGAAAAACTATGATTTATAGTAGGTTATACAGCAATCTTTAAATTGAAAAAAAACTAAAAGGCAAATTCCTATGAGATATTGTAATAGCAATAGCACCATCTGCAACTATAACTGTGATTTAATAATTTTTACTTACATTTCACGGGTTATCAGAGCTAGACCAAATGGATTTTTTAAAAACAAAAATATCATTTTTGTTGATACACATTGTAGTTATAATCATAATGATATAATTAAAGCATTTAATGCAAAAGGCTTGGATATGTTGGAAATATCCAGAAGAACTACTAGTGTTTTGCAGCCACCAGACATCTTTGTTAACAAGCCTTTTAAAAACAGAATGAGAAAAAGGTAGGATAAATGGATAGATAAAGGAGACAAAAAGTATACTAAGAAAGGCAACCAAAAAAAAGCATTATATAAGCTTGTCTGTGAATAGGTATTAGAGACATGGAAAGAAATTAGCCCAAATATTTTGGTCAAATCTTTCGAAGCATCAGGTTTTACACTTGATTCTAATGGTAGCAAAGATGATAAAATATCGCACTACCTCAAAGCTATTGTCAAAAATCATCTAGATGAATTGTCAATTGATGATGAAGAAGCACCAAATTATAATAATGGTAAACCAGATGATGATGAACTAGATAATGGTGGTAAGTCAGATGATGATAAACTGGATAATAGTGAGTCAGATAATAATAAGCTAGATTATGGTGAGCTGGATTATGGTAAGCTGAATAATGGTGAGCCAGATTATTATAGTATGGATATGGATTATTATAACAAAAATATTTGGGGTGCAGATGAGATGCAAAACAATAAAGTAATGAAAATTAATTAGTAGATATCATAGCAATTAATTAATAAATAAATTAAGCAATTTGCATTTATATCGTGGGAATATCGTAAATACTTGATTTTTTTTTGATAACTCATAATATTGTTAATCACTTCTCTAGGTTCTAACAGACCTCAATAATTTGTAAAGATAAGCCGATTAATTATATTTTTTTTAAATTGAATTTTTAATTAATGGAAATTAATTAACAATACTGTAATTATTTTTGCTTAGTTAACTGATTACCAAATGTCTAAAAAAAATTTTTTTATATTGTGTAATTATGCCAAGGCTTTATATTATAAAAAGTCCAACTTTTATTCGTTAATTTTTTGTTGTCATCATTATATAATGCAAAATCTGATACGTGTTCAAACATGGTATATAATAAGTGAATATAATGAATATAATTTCTTTGTCTTTGCAACTAACATCTAAATTGACAATTTCAAAGTGTATCTGACTGAACTTCTATTCACTATTCTGTTTTGGTGGTATTAAGTATTGTTTTAAGTATAAAAGTTTATTCTATTAATTGCCTAAATTAAAGTTTCTGATAAATGTATTATGATAGTGATGGTTGTAACTTAACTGCAATTAATTAGTAGTTAAACTGGAAATATTTTTAAACCCAATTGGAGATCTAATTCCTACTGAATATAATATGACATTAGTGGGCACTTAAATTATTACTAGTAATTGTAATTGATATATACAAAGCTTTATATATATATATATATATATATATATTTTTTTTTTTAAGGTGAGGCCTTGCTCATATCTTTTATTAGGTAATTTATACAAGTAGTTACATAGAAACTATATAAAACTTAATTCGTATACAAACAAATAAATATAAATTACATG